GTCTAGTGGTGATGACTCCCTCAGCTTCTGTGTCTTTGGGGATATCTTAATTTCTCTGTCACTTTAGAAGGACAGTTTGCCAAATTTAAAATATAAGATCCTTTGTTGACAGTTTTTTTTTTCTTTTAGTACTTTGAATGTATTTGCCCACTGCCTTCTGGACTCTAAAGTTTCTAATGAGAAATCTGCTGATAATCTTATTGTTTACTTTTCTTCAGTGTTTTTTCTTTCTGTTCCTCAGATTCAGTAATTTCCATTGTTCTGTCTTTAAGTTTGCTGATTCTTTCTTCTGCTTGCTCAGGTCTGCCTTTGAATCCCACTAGTGATTTTCTCATTTTAGTTATTATGCTTTTAAGTTCTAGAATTTTTTGGGGGGTGGTTCTTCTTAGGTTTTCTTTTTTTAAAAAAATATTTCCATTTTGTTCATTCACCATTTTCTTGACTTACTCCACATCTTTATTTCTTTGAGCATCTTGAAGATAGTTACTTTAAAGTCTTTGTCTATTAGATTTGCCATTGGGTCTTTCTTAGGGACAGTTTCTGTTGATTAATATTTTTCCTTTGAATGGGCCATACTTTTCTATTTCTTTGAATACTTTGTGATTTTTTGGTTGAAAACTGGATATTTGAATCTAATAATATACTAACTCTGGAAATCAGATTCTCTCCCTTCTGAGGGTTTGGGGTGTGTGTGTGTGTGTGTGTGTGTGTTATTGTTGAAGGCTGTCTCCATGACAAGGATCAGCCTGAGGTATAATCTTAAGGTCTTTTAGGTCTTTTCTGAGCCTATGCCTTTTCCTGGTCATGCCTGGTTACTTTCTAATTTTCCCCCATATATACAATTGATTTTTTATGTTCTAGTCTTTAATATCTGGCTCCCAGTAAGAGAAAAAGAGAAAAATAGAGGGAATGGGGAGTGGATGCTCTCCTTTTAAATTCCCTGGAGTTCACTTTAGCCAGATGGGAAGGGGCTGCAATGATCGGGGGGGAGGTACAACAACAATGGCTGCCTTTCTTTTTCTACACCTCTGTCATCAGAAACAACCCATCAGCCATTAGAGCATTGATCCCTGATATTTACAGGATGGGGTCTTTTTTGCCGGCTGTGCACAAGCTGCTTGGGGAACATGTGAACAGCTGCTTGCTGAGGGTGGGGGATGGGTAGCTGCTACTGTGCTAAGAGCTGAAATTGGCTGAAGTTAACTACAAATTACCACTGGAGCCTTCCCTTGAAAATTTCAAGCCTTCAATAGACTCCAGAGTTCCAGATTAGTTATATCAGACAGATTTTGGCACAACAATTATTGTCTAGGTGGGGAGAGAATCCTGGTGCTTCCAGGGTACCTGGGTGGCTCAGTCATTAAATGTCTGCCTTTGGCTCAGGTCATGATCCAGGGTCTTGGGATCGAGCCCTGCATCGGGCTCCCTGCTCAGCAGGAAGCCTGCTTCTCCCTCTTCCATTCCCCCTGCTTGTGTTCCCTCTCTCCCTGTGTCTCTTTCTGTCAAATAAATAAATAAAATCTTTAAAAAAAAAAAAAGAATCCTGGTGCTTCTTACTTCACCATCTTTTCAGAACCCTCCAGTGCATAACTAATTTTTTTAACCTAAAAATTTTTTTGTACAAAAGCATACCCAAAGTCATCTTCCTAGATAGTCTTGCCTTTTTGGAAAGGATCCATACCTACTGTTAACCTTCTACCCGTGATACCTCCCCATGACCTTAGGTGATTATCTTTGTATCATATATTCCTCAGACTTCCTTTGACAAACATGTCTTTGATATTTTATACATAGAAAAAGACAAGCTAGTATACCTCTGACCACCAGGATCTATACAACAGGTAATCAAAATCACTCACAGATGTTTTGGTAATCCTTAGCTAATTGGACTATCCTATTTTCCAATTTTATTTACTATCACCTTATTAAATGTATTGAGAGACTCATTTAATTGTGTATTTGATATTTCTAAAGCAAATTTATTTCCTCTTCTGGCCAATTTATTTCCATAGGGATTACATCACTTGGAAATTTTAGGTAAATTTCCCCAACTATCGTTCCACTTTGGTAATTGTTATCGGTATTTCATTTTCTTTCTTTCTTTCTTTTTTTATTTTAGAGAGAGCAGGCATGTGGCAGGGGGGAGGGGCAGAGGGAGAGTGAGAGAGAGAATCTTAAGCAGGCTCCACGCCCAGCATGGAGTCTGACTCGGGGCTCGATCTCACAACCCTGAGATCATGACCTGGGCCAAAATCAAGAGTTGGATGCTTAACCAACTGAGCCACCCAGGCGCCCATCATTTTCTTAAATTTTCTTAAGGGAAACTACAAAACTTTGTTATACCAAATAGCTTTAGATAAGAGATTAAGTTAATGCCTAGCAAAAAACACCTATGTTAATATTATAGTAGCATTTCCTATCCTTCTCAACACAAGTGTCCTTTACCCATATACCATATATTTCCAGATATAGGGGCCATTAGAGGCCATTTCCCAGTAAATGCAAGAATGACCTGATTTGGAGGCAGAACTACAACCCAGCCATTAAGGAACATGTTTTAACCAATACTGGTTTCCAAATGTCATGGAGCCGCCCATCTATTTAAATGTTGCAGGGATGTTACAATATTGGCCTTTGTCTACCCAGTTCCTAATCATTGTACCACAGTGAATGTTAGTTTCTTTCTAATTTAAAGTATGATATCTAATTTAAATAATGAGTAAGACCACATTTTCTACTGAAGTCCTGTGTGATTTAAATAACAAATACTGCAACACAATACAGATCAGTACTCATTCCAATTAGTCCTCCCAACAGTGCAGTGTCCAAATTAAATTATTTGCCTCTTGGTCATTTAGCAGAGGATCTATAATTATAAGAATCCTCAGGATGCTGCTAGTCTTTATCTAAAAACAACTCAACTCTTTTATGTTATAGCCTCTGATTTTCCAGTGGCTAACCAACAACTGCAGGAGAGTGACATCGTGATTTTTTAGGAGGTCCTTCCAGGTTTTTAATAGAGCAATCAGTTTTTGTCTTAAGATAGTAGCCTTAAAACTGCTTGTTCTATTTGCTCTCTTTACCTTTCTTTTATACCAGCAGTTTTATTTTCAAGATGGTTAATAACAGGGGCGCCTGGGTGGCTCAGTTGGTTTAGCGACTGCCTTCGGCTCAGGTCATGATCCTGGAGTCCCGGGATCGAGTCCCACATCGG